AAGAAAAGAAAGATGACAAGAGACGCAATATAAAGATAAGAAGTGAATGAATAAAGGAAAAAAAAGAAAAAAAAAAAGAAGAAGAGAGAAAGATTATCATATGTAAGCCGTAGATAAGTCTATTATTTATTAGTTAAAATTTCATTTTAATTATTTTTTAAAATATATTATTTATGATATTGATTCAGTAAATCGTATAAATATTTGAAGTGAAAAAGTGGAAAGATGAGAGATAAAAATATAAAAGTCTAATATAAAAAGAGGAGAAAGAAAAATATGTTAGTAAAAAGTTTACGAGAAAATAAAAATAATATTTATTCTAAGTAAAAATGTGAAAGATAAAAAAATTAAATTTTATTTATATTTAAAAACAATTTTATTTTAAATATATATATTGATTTAGGATGTGATCTCTTTAATATTGTAAGATTGTTTGGATTAAGAGAATGATAGTAGATTTCAAGAAATTTGAGTAAATCTATTGTAGCTGGTATTATTGATGTGATTAAATATAAAAAATTAAATAATAAATTTTAATGTAATGACCAAAATATTTTTAGTGTTAGAATGAATAAATTAAGTAAAAATGACAATTATGATATACTAGAATATAAGAATATTAATTAATTTATATTGTATATAATATTTAAATATATTAATATTATTTATATATCAAGTGTGATTACAATTATTTTATACATTAAGTATAAAATATTTTTTGTTGTAGTTTAGATTATATATTTAAAATTTTTGATATTTTGAATGAATATTTAGCAAAGTAAAATTGTATTATCTTATTAATAATTTATAAGTTGTCCTACATTTTTCTAATTTTTGATTTCATATTAAATACAATAATTAAATAACATTGAAATAAAATGTCGTTGTTATTCAATGTGCAATAATATTAAATAAAATAACATTTTAATTTTATTGAAACATTAATAAACAATTGGAGTGAGAAATCACTCCAATTACACTAATCCAAATCAACAAATTACACATAAGGCATATTCTTATAATCATCCAATAAAAAAAGTAAAGGATGAAAAAAATTAAGTTCCACCTTGAGTAAGAATGAAAAAGTTGAGCAATATATAAAGAAAAAAGATCCATAACCCAATGCCTTAAGGTTTTGGATTGACAGTGGTTTCAATCCTTATGTGGGTTGAATTCAATTGTGTTTCTTCCTTGTGCATCCCCCTTGAAAGACCCAACACATTTAAGTTAAAAATACATAAAACCCAATAAGTTTTCAATCATCCAAAAATTGAAAGTGTAGCAAATAAAGGTACAATCATCCAAAGTAAAAAATAAATAAATTATTTTGAACATTCAGCTTGAGTCTACCCATATGTGCTTGCATATCTTGGATATGTCCTCATATAAAGTTAATCGTATTATCTTGCTGGAGAAGTTGTACTAGCTCTCTTACAACCCCCATCTTCGCTTGAAGGGTTATCTTCCTCAACCTCATCTGGTTAAGTCTACCCATATATGCCTGCATATCTTGGATATGTCCCCATATAAAGTTAATTGTATCATCTTGCTGGAGAAGTTGTACTAGCTCTCTTACAGCCCCCACAACTTCATCTTCGCTTACAAGGTTATCTTCCCCAACCTCGACTGGTTGTGAATGGTGACCCGGACCGTGTTGCCACACACCATCCATGTTAACAACATTTAACTTTTTCAAGAATCTTTCATTAAATTTAATTTAATGTTGCATTACAAACCACCCGAATGTCAAATTATTTACAAAACATGTTACTTCAACATGGATGGTGTAATTTAGTTACTTCAACATTAATACCTTAATTAAGTCTTGCCAGATTTCAGGTTCAGCTTCAAACATTCCTGTGGCCTCATTCCATGCAAAAATGTTGAGGCCACTAAACAGATCGTGGACTTCATGCCATCAATCTTTCAACAAACATTTTTGTCTGTTCTTTACATTATTTTTGTTGATACATGAATAATCAACTTGTCTTAATGTCTCTACAACATTTGTATAGGTCTGGCTGGTTCAACTGCCATCTATCCTATTGTCAGCACGAGCTTCATCAATCATGACAATTAGCAATTGTAGATCCGTAGCTTCACTCTATTTTCTAAACTCTCACATGTTCTATCTTGCATCAACCTGACCTTTCCCTCTATTCATGTTAGTATGGAAACAACTAAGTTATGTTACTTTATGTCATTGTTATTATGGTTGACATAAATTACAATTTCTACATTAAACAAGTGATGATGATATTAACTTATAAATTGTCAATTACACACAAATACACATGAATACTAATAAAGTAAAAAAAAAATATAATTCAAAAACATAATTTATTATTCATAATCATGCCACAAATGGACTGTTATAAGATCCCTTAAGTTAGTCTCTTCCCTATAATTATCCTCTTGAATTTGTGTTGCAGACCTATCATTTGCACGTTCCTCTAATTCTCGGTCTACTTCATGTAGAAAAGATTCCTTGTTATCTACTCTACGTAAAAGGTTGTGCAAAATGCAGCATGCCAAAATTATATTCCTCGATGTTACAAAACTATAATAGGGTTCAACCCCACTTGCTATAATGGAAAATCTTTTCTTTAGTACACCAAATATCCTCTTAATTACATTTCTTAGTGAGGAATGACAATGATTAAATAATTCTCAAAGAGTCGTAGAATCTCTTTGCAAATACTCCTTAAGGTGGTACCTTACCCCTCGATATGGAGTTATAATTTGAGCTTTTAACATCAATCATGCGTCTCTCAGATAATATTTATCTCACAAAAGAACAGTACTTAGTAATTGCTATTAACCATTTATGTTAAAAAATAAATCATGTTTGTTGTAAAATGTTGCATACCTTCTAGTATGGTTAGTGGATCTTCCCTTGTTAAAACATCTTTTAAAATTTGCGAGTCAGGTGCAGTATCTTCTCACCCTGCTAATATATATGTGAATCTCATGTCGAAATCACACGCCGCAAATACATTTTGGGTTGACCAATCTTTTCTACCACGAAAACGAGGAACTTCTGATCGTGGTACTTTGATGCAGACATGCATTCCATCAATCGCACCAAGATAATCCTTAAAATATGGATAAAATATGGGATTATTATGGATGTGTGCTTTCACATCCGTTCCTAATCCTAATAGTTGAACAAAAAGTTATTTCTCTAATTCAATTATCGCATTGAACATGTTGTGCAAATGTCAACTCACTGTCTCACCCAATCGATGAAAGAAAAATGATATGGTACGCTTTTTAACATTATGGCCTAAAATATGTAAAAATTTGGCACTTATTCTTCAACTGTTGACCTAAACGCATATTTGACGATGTTAGTTGCTCTTAATCGATGACACAATTTCATGAAGGCTTTGAGTCCCATGCAAATAATATCATGACATCGCTCTGAATGAACCAAATATGACATTAGCTCACATTTACAATGATCTTTTTTACAACCATGAAGGTTAACGTTGCTGGTGCTACTAGTAGACATGTGATCTAACATGTATAATGCAGATGATACACTAGATAAGATGGTTAGTGCTGTAACGTTTACATTTTGTTGTATCTATTCATGAGCCTAACATATTAAGTTCATATCATCCCACACATTAGTACTGAATTCTTCTTCTTCTAAATTCAAATATTCTTCTTTTCGATTTGATCATGGTCAAATAATAATCTGTATGTAACACGAAAAAAAAAACTTATATTAATTTTGTATAATTATATTCAATTATGCATGTCCTAATCACACATATAGCCCCATCATTAAAAATAATTTTGTAACCATGGAAAAAACAATTAACAAATCAAGTTATTTAATAGTACATCAAATTTGAAAATATTTTTTAAACTAAAATTTTAAAAATATTAAGTTCTTAAAGACTGGTAAAATTCATTCGTTTCAATCACTCATTTTTTCAGTTTTCACCAAATTTAACTAGTTTCATTAAAATTGATAAATTTGCAAGCCCATTATTACATTTTTCATGTAGAGGAGTACCGATAACTCCTCATTTTCTTCCTCATCTACACCCCACAACTCCTTATTCCTCCAATTATATGCTCACATTGCATGGAGCACCCTAATCCATGTGTGTCTTGCAACTCTTGGATGACACCCCAATATAAACGATCTTGCTACCATGATACACCGTTTAGGTATGACCATGATCAGTCACCATGCCAGTGACCATGGACAATCACCATGGAGGTTCACCATGACAACTCACATCTTAGGCCACCACATGAGGCAAATGATACACAATCTTCTTCTTCATACAAGATGAAGAAAGATATCAAAGTCCATTAATGACAACAAGGAAGAGAATGAGTTGAGAGGCCACATATTCGAATATGCAAGTCTCAATAATCGATTATGGGTGACCTCATAATCAAATATGCTTTAGTCCATATTCGATTATTAAGGGTTACATAATCGATTATGCATTGTTGCATAATCGATTATGGCTTCGTGTATATTCAATTATATAACATGATATAATCAAATATGCCCTCTTGTAGGGTCATCTTTTACTACTATGCAACTCTCGACGAACAATACTAACACCAATATGTCTAACAACATGATATAATCCACTACTATTTCGATATTCTATGTAACATTTCATAAAAAAATTATAATAAGAATATTTCTAACAACATGAACTAATAGACTATTATGCAAGATTTCATCAACAATTAAAACAATATGATATAATCCACTACTATGCAACATTTCAATTTCTAACAACATATAAGTAGCCTAACTACAATTACAATTCAACAACACTAGCAAATACAATCAGCCACAACAATCAACAATGAAATCATTGGTTCAAGAAAAAATACCTCACTTTCGATCACCTTTGAGCTTCAGAAAACATATTGACACTACTGGAAATGGAGGATGATATGAGAGAGAAAAATATAAAGCGTGTAGTGTAGTGTAGTGTAGTGTCGTTGGTCAGGATGACACTTTCAAAGGTTAATGAAGGAGATGAACGTTGGAATAGTTGCATTTCCAATGGTCCTCCCCACATGGCCAATGAATAGGGATGGAGGACCAAGCATCTCTGCAAAAGGCTAGTCATGGGTACCTCTGAATCACTGGGTTGATGCACAGTATCCTAGACATGGTAGCTGACACTTTATTGAGGGAATCTCTGCATTTTTAATTACGTGGGCCACTTTGTGCATGAGATCTTTTTAGACAATTTACCTCACTTTCTTTACAAATTCAAGCATCTTTTCATTCAAATTCGAGAGTTTCTTGTTATGTGAGACCATACATAAATTACTACAAGTTCATACAAATACACATATCCAAAGAAAGATGCATCTACTCAAATATTCACTAACAAATAAGCTAGAAGAGTAAATTACTAGAAGCTAGTAAATCCTTCTTGGTAATTAATTATATAACTAATTTTATTATTAGCAAAAAATTATTGTTATTATGTTGTATTTATTATTATTATTATTATTATTATTATTATTATTATTATTATATTAATGATTATAATATTGTAGTTAAAATTGTAACAATTTTTTTAAAATGCTCAATTTACTAATTAATCTATGTCTTAAATAATTAATTAATCTGTCATTATATTCCTGTCTCAATAAATTTTATGAAATTTGATTTTTTATATAATATTTATAAGATTTTCAATAATTAAAAATTAAGAAAATATTATTTAAAATGAATATCTCATAAAAAATTAAACAAATATCTCCACTATTAGTAAACAAAGTTAATTATAATGTAATAATAACTTTACATTTTCAACATGGGAAAAATAAAGTTAATATTTTTTTTATTATAAAGTATCATTCTAAAATTTATTTTAGTCCTAGAAAAGTATTAGAATGGTCGTGATTCAGACATAAATGTCAAATATACCACATTTAATAATTTTAAAATATTTGTAATGAGAATTGAGATATTTAAATAATTTTTTAATAATTTTTTATTTGAAATATTTTAAGTTATTTAGATTTTTTATAATTACTTTATTAATTTATTTTAAATTAAAATAAATGATGAGAAAGAATGAGTTTTTTAAAATTTATTAATTTTTTTAATAAAATAAAATTAATAATAAATTATTTAAAAATAATTTGATATTATTAATTTTTTTTATATTAAATATAATGGAAATGAATATATCCAAAATCTTATTCGTGAAATCCAATTTGAACACGTACACACCACCAACACACCATGACAAAAATGCTATCGTCTCCGTGACCACATCACACTGCAATGAATGGCTTTGGTAAAACCAATGCCTAATACTCTTTTAACGTCATTCTATAAATTTGTGTTTTCTTTATATTCAAAACAATTATTTATATGAAAGAAAAATCTATTTTCAATTTTAAGAAATTTATATTTATGAAGTTGAAATTGTATGATTAAAAAGTCAAACTATTATGAAAAACTTTCATCAAAATTATAATTAATTATCGATAATTACGAAAAACATGTTTGGTGGAATCCATTTTATACTCACATGAAACATAAAATATAATTAACTCTTACTTAAGTTATAATTAAAATTTGGTGATGCGATAACATAAAGATAAGTTTTCAAGAATATCAAAGAATATATAGTTTAATTAAATGAAACATGATTTTAACCGTTAATTACATGCCAACATATTCTCGGCACACTTAATTATTGAGCCCACTCGTTAACTTATTGTATTAAATAAAGTTTAATTTTTTAAAGTTAAGTCTAAAAAATTTAATCATTTATTGTGATTTGTTGTTGATATAAAACTTAATCTATCTTATACACGCATCTCATTAAAATAATGAAAAAACTATAAAAAAGGTAGAACATGTGCTACTTAATTATTGCCCCTAAATAAAATCATGAGAAGTTTTAGTTTATTTGTATGTGGCCAGCAATTTACAATTAATCTTCAAAATCTTTTAGGTTTGTGATTTGGTTTTTGTCTTTTTCAGTCTCCATGTGCCCAAACTGATAATTGAATTCCATGTTCCATCATCAAATGAGTTACTACTAACTTTTCTTTTTCACTTTAATGAATTTAAAGAGATTAATCTTTTGGTTATGGTATGAATATATGAGTCTTTTATACTCTGTTTTTGATAATTCTCATTTATGGGCTTGGAACCTGTGATGTCTTTATCATTCATTACCCACTTCAGTGGAGAATACCTTTTTACTAATTTGAATTCCTTTTTGCAATGTGATGTGTGTCTCTCACTAGTTAAAGATGTCTTTAAATCAAGCCAAAAAAATAAATAAATAATATATATATATATATATATATATATATAGGAGATAAAAATATTATAGAATAAACATTTTAATATACATGGTTAAATAATTAGTAATTGTGTCAATTTTTGCTCATAAAATATGTGCATTGAAATAATATTTTAAATAAATTCTACCGTGATTGCTTTTTTTATTACAATATTAATGTTTTTATATATATATTTATAATTTTATTCTGCATTGAATGTATTTTTTATATTTTGTATTTTTAGTTTGAAATTCATTTCTATTCAATAATAATAAATTGAGTTTAATGTAAATATTTGTTTTGATTTTACATTTTTCAACTTAAAGTTTTACTATTTGTTTCCTATATAAAAATTTTAAGTAGATTTTACGTTTTCAAAACGTTTAAATGGATATATAATTTTTTATATTTGAATTTTTCACCTATTTGCTATGGTTTTTAAAATTTAAGACAAGTTTGTTGGAGCATTTAAGTAGTCTAAATGTGTTTTAAAATTATTTAAAGTTATTTTATTAGACTTGTGGTTTAGGAATTATCTTTTCATCTTTTCTTTTATTTTTTCTCTTTTATTTTTATTTTGACTATTCTTATTCTTCTCTTTTGTTCTAGTATAAATTGGTTTGTGTCTTTTATTTATGAAGAAAAAAATCTTAAGGATCAATTTAAGGAATTAAGATCAACCATGCTAAATTGAGTTTTGCACCAATTGCTCTGAGTTTGTTCTCTCTTCTTTAATTTCATGTTTGCACTTTGTGTTATCAATATATAATTCTGATTTTAGAAATTAATTGAATCTTGATTTGATAATTAAATATGAATGACCTATATTTGTGCTATATATTACAAAATCTTTAAAGAAAACTTTAAATATTTAATTTTATGAACGACGTTAAAATCAATTATAATAAAATTAAATCATGAATCAAGAATGATAAAATCTTTAGAAGTATGTGTATCATTCTTCTCTCAAGTGTTTAAGATTTTATTTATTTTCATATAATGAAAGTAAGTATTACCATAGGTTTGATAAACCTCTTTCTTACACTACTTGAAACATATGCAACTAAAGACCAAAAAGACTTTTCATAACTTTGTAACGTGGTCATGATAAAGGTAAGATAAGAAAAACTATACAAAATTATAAACCAAAGAAAAAAGAGGAGTAATGAGGAATAAGTTAAAAATAAGTAGAAAACTATCTATCATGAAACTAAAATCCAACATTTACTCTTTCTTTTCTTTTCTTTTTTCTTTTTCTTTTATTTTTCTTCTTCGTTCATTTTTCTTTCCTTTTTCATCAAATCACATTTTTTTTCTTATTTTTCCATTATGCTTTTGTCCTCTTGAAACTACTTACAATTAACTTATAATGCATCAAAATCTTAATATTTATCAAATTAACAAAATGTTTTTTACCAATTCCCAAAATAATTCCAAAGGTTGGAAATATCATGATTTTTCACTTTTAAAGCTTGTAATGAGTTGCAACATCATCAAGAAAAAGGTTAATAAGGCTTAAAGGTGTAAACAAGAGGAATTAATGCAAGATAGGTCAATTTAGTTAAGTAGTTGAAAATTAAAAAAGACCTAAATCATATCAATAATGTATGTGAAAAATCATCAAAGAGTCAAGTCAATTTTTAAAATACCAATAAACATGAGTGAATCATACAAGAAAGAAAGAAAACAGCTCAAATCTCACCAAGGTATTTATTCTATCAAAAAGATTCACAATCTCGTATAGAAATTGGAACAACAAATAAAAATGGAAAAAATAAACAAATCACAAGCAAAAAGTAAACAAATAAATCAACACAAATGGATCAAAACTAAGTCAAACTAAAATAAAAACAAGATCACCTAATCATCAACATCTACTAAAATGAACAATATGAAAAACAACAACAATTAAGAACTAGAAACTATTAAGAACGAAAACAATTAACAACCATAAAAACAACAAAATGGATCAAAACCAAATGAAATTGAAAATTGAGAAATGAAAAAGTCAACAACAACTAACTATGAAAGGGAAACAACAACTACTCTTTTTTTTCTTTTTTATTTGGATACTAAAAAATCAAGAAACTAATGAAAAGAAAATCAAGAAATAAAACAACAACTACAATAATTAAAAACGGAAATGGATTCAAGAGCAAATAAAAAAACAACTAAGAATAGATTCAAGAACATAATTAACAACATATCAAGAACTGAATTCGGAAACTAATCAAGAAATCAATGAAGAACAAATCAATAAAAAGGAAGGAAGAATGCAATAAAAAAATGAAACAAAAATAGGATGTATATGTAAAATAAAATGAAATGAAAAAAAAAATTAAGAAATGAAGAACAAAACAAAAATGGAATTAGAAACATAAATAAAAAAATTAGATAATTAGGAACATAATTAGAAACAAACAAAATTAGGAATTATGAGTTAGGAATTAGGAAACCAAATTAAGAAAAAAGTTAAGAAAAGAAAAAAATACACAAAAATAATACTACTAATTGGATACAATATAATGTGTCCCTCACAATGACGCCATCTTGATTTTGAATGTCGTTTATGAAATCAAATATTTTAAATTTTCTCTAAAAGATTTTATAATGTAGAACATAAACCTAGGTCATAATTCTCAAAGACACATTTTCAGTTTTGTTACATTTTTCTCTTTTTCTTCTTCCAGTACCTATGCATATGTTTTTATGAATATGTTTACTTTAAGACACAAACAGGTAACTAATTTGTACTATTTTTTCTCTTTTTTGCTATTTTGTTGTTAAGCTCCTAGGGAGAAAGATAGACTATGAATCGTATTTTTCATTGTTAGTTTTTATTTTCTGATTTCTTGTATTGTTGATAATGAAAGCAAAAGTACCAATAAAGAATAACTTTGTTCATCTTTAAAATATTTGAAACCAATGTAGGTCATAGAAATGGTGATTCAACTTGTCTCTACCCTTTATAGTTAAGGTGGTTCACACGTGAGTTGTAGCTCAAAATAGGTTTTGCTTTCATTTTCAAACTTTTCATCTTCTTAATAATTATAAACTAAAATTACGATGATGTGTATGTAGCCTACAATATTTGATAAATTAATTGCAACTTTATTGTCATACTCTAATAGTTTATGTGTATTAATATGCTTTTATTATTCTATTAAACTGTTATATTGCAATTTTCTTATTTTTATGTGGATGAATGTGAGGAATTTGATGTATGGTAGCGTAGATATTACAATTTGACTATTATGATTAGAAGAAAAAAAGTTTAGTAATAAATAAATGAAGTAAAAATTATATTCCAATTTTTTTCTTAGCATAATCTTTCCGTTTTATAAGAACTTAAATTTAAATTTTCTGTTTTCTCTATTCATATTATGCTCAACCTTTGTTTGTTATAAGAACATTAATTATTTTTAATAAAATACTTTTTGAAACTTTGAAAAATAAGGCAGTTAAATTATAGATTAAGTATCAAGAGTGTTAAGAAATGTGTGAAACAATATACTTTCAAAACTAACTCTTCTTTAGATATAGATGATAAAAGATACTCTTTACTAAAATACATTAACTATTATGTGTAATAACAATGAATTTCATTATGACAAGGAAACCTAACAACTTTTTTCTCTTTTCTTTTCTCTCTATAAGTATTTTCAACTTCTTTCACTCCAAGAGGATGAACTTAGTTATTTCCTGTATTACACATTTAGGAAATATATGTCATTTTTCCATGTTATTTATTTTTTTCTCATATGTAAATATAACTTCGATAGTAAAAGTTTTCCAATTAGACATACATTGTTATCTCTTTGATTCTTCAAATTGATTCTTTTATGAATGTTTTGGTTAATCAATATCTTAGTTTTTTCCTAAGTGTATTTTTTTTATGTGTGGCAATGTGCATTATGTGTAAGGTAAATAATAAACTTATTTATTTTATTATTAACTTTATATTTTTTATAAATTTTATAACATTTTTATATTTTGCCTTATGTTCTTTGGTTTTTACTTGAAAAAATATACCTTAAAGAGTGATGGAAGTAAAAATATTAAATCAATAGCCATACTATTTTTTAGTATAATTATTAAATTTTTGATTAAGAGTTCCTAGAATAATGCAAACATTATATTTGGAGGTTATTGAATATGATTTCTTTTGTAATGCAGTCATCTAGTTAGAGATTGCCTCCAACATTACACACTCATGTAGAATATTAAAATCCCACCAATGTTGTTCCAATGTCAGTACACAACCATTGAACCAAATTATAACTGCAACTAAAGTTGAAGTAGTTGACCTTAATAAGAATTTAGAAATGTACCTGCACTCATAGTTGACAATGAATAAATAATCTAATGATGTGGTTGTAACATATTTAAAAAAGGGAATAAAGAACAAGGGTGGGTTAGTAATAGATGGACAATTTTTCCATATCAGGTATTGTGTCCATATACTAAACTTGGTTCTGAGTGATGGTTTAAAAGAGTTACACACTTCAATCTCAAGTATTAGGGATATTGTTAGATTTGTAAGATTTTCACCATAAAAGATGACTAAGTTTAAGGAGTGTATAGAGTTTTCAAAAATTGATTGCAAAAAATTAGTGTGTCTTCATGTTCCTGCAAGGTGAAATTCCACATATATAATGTTAGATGTAGCTACAAAATTTCAAGTTGCATTTGAAAAACTCGATAATGAGAACTCTAATTATATGAGTTTTTTGTGTGTGTTGAAGGTCCCCCTATTGCTAATGATTGAAAACATTCCTTATCATTTATTAAGTTTCTGAAAATATTTTACAATGTCATTAAGGTGTTTTCTACATCATTGCATGTAAATATATACATATTGCACTTCACCAATTGACTACTATTCACTTTGCACTTGACAAGACTACTATGACTCTGAATACTATCTTAGCTCCAAGTAGTTATAACATGAGATTGAAATATTATAAATATTGGGGTAGTGTTCATAACATAAATCATTTGTTTTATTTTGGTGTTAATTTGTATCCTTGTTACAAGTTTGAGTATGTGATTTGGAATTTTCAAGAAGTGTACAAACATGATTCATATAAAGTTGTTGAATTAGATAATTCTATAAAAGAAAGTTTGAAAAAAAAAGTATAATTGGTATAAATTAGATCATGATGAGGAGCAACATATATCTTAATAGCTACATGTTGATGCAACAAACTTTACATCTCCATCTGAATCATCGTACGTTGTTGAAGTTCCTAAATATTTGGCAAGGGCTGATGCCTTTAAAAAGCACGATAGAAAAAATTCTATAGATAGACAAAATGAACTAAAAAGGTAGTTAAATGAGTATGTTGTAGATGGTGATGGAAAACTTGATATTTTACTTTGGTGAAAAATGAATTTTTCATGATTTCCCATTTTATCAACTATGGTGAGAGATGTGCTGGTCACCCTTTTATCTACAATGACTTCTTTAATTATGCTCAAAATTGGTTAAAAACTACAATAAATCAGTCTGACAATCATAATATCAACGAATAATTTGAACTTTCTAAGAAATAGTCATAGTTACGAAGAATTTGAGCTTTTTTATATATAATTATTTTATTTTATCTATAATAATATTTACATTTAATAAATTTCAGAATTGCAAGGTTGATGGGAGTTGAAGAAGCATAAGAAGGAGTTGGATCAGGTAAGATAGTTGGTTCATCATCTCAATGCTAAACCATCTAAGTATGTTATTTTATTTTAATTATGATTATATTTAATTAATACATTATCATTTTGGTAGATTGTAATTGATAGTTTTATAGATGTAAATATATTCTTTTGTTTTTTGAAGTCATTTGTTAGAGACAAATGTTGAGATCTTAGCTTATTGTTTATTTGGAATGTATCTCCTTTACTTTTATCTTGCCATCATTCAATGACTTGTTGTTGGTTCTTTTTTGGGTAATGCTACGTATAAATTTAGTTAATTAATAGCTTAAGAATGTTCATATTAATTATTTATTGGTATTATAATTAAGTTCTAAAAAAATTACAGGAATTGTTGGTGTTGACTGGACTTTTCATGTTAATTTGTAATTTGTTGATTAACGTATCTCAAAATAAATTATTAGCAGTTTTCTCATCATTTTCAATAGTGGCCTTGATGGACTTTTTTATAATTTGGATATGTTATTTAGGGATAAATCTTTTAGGATAATAACCTTTTTTTGTATCATTGAATTGTTAGTTACTCATTGGATTTTTTCGGACCATTTACCATTTAGTGATTTATATGAATCATTAACATTTCTTTCATGGACTTTTTCCATTTTGGATATGGTTTGTTACTCTAAAAAAACATAAATTTCTATACGATAATAACACCGAGTGTTCTTTTTATCCAAGACTTTGCTACTTCAGGTCTTTTAACTAAAATGCATGAATCCTTAATATTAATATTTGCTTTACAAGTCCCATTAGTTAATGATGCACGTAAGTATGATGATATTGGGTTATATAACTTTTTTATGCGCATCATTATTATCACTAACTATTTTAGTAATTACATTTTAAGAACTTTTACAATTTTTTTTAAAGAATAATTTTCTTTTGCTGAAATCAAATACATGAATATAAATGATAAAAATAAGATTTTACAAAAAAACTCGATTTTCATCTTATTCGTCTTATAGAAATTATTATAGATCACAATTTATTTAACAATTAGATCGTTGGAGTTATCTTACTATATCGGGAGCAGTATGGGCTAATGAGACATGGTGATCATAATGGAATTGGGATACAAAGAAAACTCATCTTATTTGTGACAAGGTTCTAAAATTGTGCAAACTTATGCATGTTTTGGACATATAAATTTTGTTATGCTTCCTCTTTACTTATTATTGTGTATTTTGGATTATATTTGCAACTTTATTTTAGTCAACCAATTTATTGGAAGTAGTCTACATTATCCATTATGACTGCATTGAAAGACATATAAGATTGTTTATATTGAATATCTTCTTTCATGTCCCTTAACAATCATTTTTAACTATATCAATAATATATGTTTTTTCGATCATTCATGTCATTGTTCAATCCATGTGATCCTATTTTAATTCAAATAATTCAGATAAAGATTCTTTACTTTCTTATATATCAAAATATTTGATGTATCAAATTTAACTGGATAATTATTTTATTTTGTAGATAATTTGTAATATTTAGTTATCTTGTTAGTATTTTTTATCTATAAAATCAAATTATGATATTTTATTTTTTATATCACATAAACTCACTTTTCTTTTGTTGGCGGATCTTTAGAAAGAAATGGGAAGACATTTATGTTTTATAAGATCTTCTTCTAAAATATTTCAATTTATCCATGATTCATGAATGATAATTTATAAAATCATTTTATCCTGGATTTGACTTTTAAAATATATAAAAAATCATATATTATATTTCTTTTGCTAGTACCACATGATTCTCTATTATTTTTTTTCTTTTTGTGCAGAAATGTTGAGAATTATATTGAATTGCTAAAGGGGTTTAGTGAGTG